TCGTGTCGAGGTCCCTGTTCAGTGTCCCCAAACCTACATTCACAAGCCCAAAACAAACACTGTTTTATGAGTCAGTGCCACTTTTGCATATTTCCTTACTCATTCTTGTCCAGCACTGATACCGTCAATTGATTATTTTGTTACAGTAAGACAAATAAGGGATGTGGATAAACTGAACTGAAGCCACATCTGAATTTCCTGGTGCATAAATTACACAGGGATAGGGGATCCTTATGAGGAATGGCCACACAACTTCTTCTTCTCCCTCTTATCCACTTTGGCTACTCTTAGAGACATGATACCACTTTGTCCAACACAACTGGAGTTAAAATATGTCTATTTTTAAGAAGATTCTTCAACTGTTTCATTTGCAAGGAAACCCTACCATCTCAAGGTTTAAGGTTTTCATATTTACAAAGAGGATCAAAAATAACTGGCACTGAGCAGCAGTCTTCCAAAAAAAAATAAAAAAAAAAAAAATAAAAAAAAAATAAATTCCAGAATAACTTTCACAAAGCCAAAACTCACAAATTAACCTTCTACAACGAAGTTCTCCCAATAAAAATCCAGTACTACCACTATAATAATTTGGAATCCATCAGTCAAAATTCAGAATATATAACTCCTTACTGTATGTCAGCTCTTGGAAGAAGAGGGTAAGCCTTCTCTTTTGTTACTCTTGACAACTTTTCTTCCAAAGACACATACCCTTTTTTCAACAAGTTCTGTCACTTGACAGGAAGTTAAGACCTCAGTTCAAACTCTAATAAAATTCAAGCTTTTATCTCCACTTCTCTGAAGATAGTTTTAACCACTAAGTCTAGACTCTGTTCTGACCCTTCCCTGCTGTCCATCTGAGCACAAAAGCAGCCAACATCAGCAAGCAAGATGATTCTGCAGCCTAATGGTAAGAATCTCCAATGTCTCAAAGCTTGAGACATTTCCCAGTATGAAAAAAACCCCAACCAACCAAAACCCGAATCATTTCAAAGTCAGTTTTATTACCCAGTGAGAGGGCAGAAGTGACACTTGACTACTCTATACTAATACCAAGCATGAAATGCTCTCAAGTCAAGATAAGCCAAAAATATGAATGCAATCTTTCTTAAATATTTGAGAGTAATAAATAAAGTTTGACAGTACTCAGTGTGGAAGTGGCAGGAAGTTCCTGTACGCCAGATACTCTCCTCCAGTTGTAAGACAGAAGTGGGGATCCTTCTTGTGATAGGCATTTCAAGATAACATCTTTTCCAATCTCCTGTGATCCTTCGATGGAACATTTAGTTCTTGCTGGCTTTACTAATAAACAAAGTATCACTGAATTAATAACATTCACAATCAAAATGTTTACTAGCTGTGTTCTAGTAGGCCAGTCCTTTTTCCTAAAGACAAAGCTTGTGCAACAAGCCATTTCTATGCATGGAAAGATTTTCTGTGATACATGAAATCCAGGTGTAGATTTATTTTTAAATGCTTGTTATTCTGAATATTATTCCCTTCATCCCTCCCAAAGCCTCAGCAATGAGTACGGATGCATCATCATAGATTCAGCCTGGCTTTGTCCAACAGCTTTCATTTTAGACATCAAAGATAGGATGGAATAAACACATAAAGAATGTCACTGAAAAATTAAAGAAAAGCATTATCTTACCAAGTACAGTCAACTGTATTTTCTGGCTTTGAACTCCAGGAGCCTTCTTCACTTTGCACTGGTACGTGCCAGTGTCTGTGGACTTCAAATTCAAGATATCCAGTGAACCATCTCCAGATTTGGGATCAGGATTAGTAAACTGCATCCGCCCAGTCATAGCAGCATAATAATTATTATAGATCCTGTCTACAGCATACATAATTATCTATTAAAAAAAAAAAAAAAAAAAAAAAAAAGAGAGAGAGACAGATGATTCAGAAATCCATTTGACATGTAAACATTCAAAATAATTTGGTATCTCCAGATTCCTGACAGTTTCTTTCTACTGCTTAAAAAAAAAATCCAAGAAGTATGACAGCCAAATATCTCAATCTTCAAAACACCACACAGTACTCTGATGAATAAATACTTCAACCAAACACCTGCCCAAGTAGCAGCATGTCAGCACTGACTTCTAACTGAAAGCAAACTATTAAAAATTGCTCTGACTTTTCTGTAAATACGGTCTACTAGAAGGAGACAGATGACTAGATGACCAGGAGTCATCTTATCAATAAGGTTTCCAAAGGAATAGAAGAGTTATAAACTAAGAGAGTTAATATATTTAAAATTAAATCCTCCTAAATCAAATTAAAAAGGTACAATTAAAAATCAATTAAAAAAGGCACAAAAACATAAGAAGTTTGTTTTCTGGAACTGCAGCATACTTAATTTGAGAGTTCTTCTTTAGAAGACAAGTTTATAGCACAAAATTTCTTGACAATTCCATACTTAATCTGCTATTCCAAAACTTCCAGTATGTTTCATGTAACTGCTGCTTCAAAGTAATTTAAGATCACAAGCATCCCAACCTGAAAAGGTGGAAGTTTAAAAAGCCAGTAATAAAAGTTCATACATTCATCTACTCACACAACTGAATTAACACTGTCCAAAAAGAGTCTCTACTTACTATTTGTTCCTTCTTTTGATTATCTGCTGGTATCAATACCCACTCAATATCTAGTGGGCCTTCATCTTCTTCTGAGAGTACAAAAGTACATGGCAATGTAACTTTCTCTCCTTGTGCTTTTTCAAACATTGACTGGTCAACTGAAGTTATACTCAGGCTTCTCGTTAGACCTATATAAAAAAAAAAGTTTTAAAAAAAATCTATCATATACTTTTACTGTATAGAAATCATGTCATTAGTCAGACTTGTCACCCTTAAAAGAACCCACACAGTATGTTACTGAACACAGTGCAAAGTCAGATACTGTTCATTTGGAATTATACCCAACAGGCAGTTACAGCTTTCAAACCATACAATTTTTTTGTACAATTCAAGTCCCATACAAAGCTAAAGTCAAAGATTTTCAGCAGCAGTTTTCTCAAGTTAACTTTTTTTTTCCCCCAGTCATTTTATGGGCGTAGGTTACTGCTCATCATAGCTAGACAGTCACAGAGATGTTACTACAGCCACAACAGATGCAAGGTCACAAGAACAGTGCCCAGTGTTCTTGTACAATGTTCTGGTAACCACTGTTCTGGTACAGAATCCGTAGAATCACAGCCCCCATTGAAATAAAATTAAAAAATATAAGCAGTGCATTTATGCTCTTGATTGTGCTTCTGAGTTAGGTACAGCATCTAACTTGCACTTTCCATATAGCAGAAAAGCTGTAGTGCATTTCTGCAGTAGATCAGACCACAACAGCTCTCCTTCTACTTTACTAAAATTTTGCTCTGCATCAAGCCTTTGGACTCTATTCCCAATGTCAAAACAAAGGAATCTTTAACAGCTATTTAAAAAAATAGAGTAACTTAGAAAGAGCAAGTACCTGCCATACATAATTCCAGACAAAAGCCTGAAAGAAAGACCTTCACCAATTGCAAACATACAGTTACAAATTAGGTAGGATTATTTCACTTCCTGCCATCATGGTATTACTTTGCATGGCATGCAAAGAGATTCAGGTGCAATGTTTCTTACCAAGCTATGTACTTCTTTGAAAAGATAACTCTTAACAGGTTTGAATCACCTCTTTTTTGACCATAGTAAACCTATCTTAGCAACTAATTTTCTGCTACTAGACTGTTTGTGTCCTGCTGTGTCCTTTAGAAAAGGACATTTTCTAAATATTACTGATCCCCATCAATACCAGTTGACTTGCCACACACGCTACCCCCTTCCAAATGATCCTTTCAGATTTCCAAGTGTTAAACTAGACAAAAACTTCTTAAAAATCTTTAGAAGGTCATCTGACAAGTGAAATGTATTACAGTGTAATCCTTAAACTTAGTCAGCTTTGCCTAAACAAAGACAGTATTAGGACTAGCCACCATCTCTAGAAATAGATTCAGAGTATAATCATGTTTCCATAAAGCACAGTAACAAAGAACACAAGTTTGTAATCTGTTTTTCATTGACCTCCATACCCTTCTGTTCCCCTCTCCCTCACTTCCGCATTAGGGAACTGTAATACAGTATTCTCAAGTTCATATCCAAACTCCACTTCTGCATTTTCATTTTACTATATTAAAGACGTGAGATGGGATGTCAAGTACAGTTCAGTGACTGATGATGAAATACATTACAATGTTGCTTCCTTAAAAACCTCAAATCTATAACCCAGGAAATTAAAAGCTTTCATTCTGAAGGAACAGCAGTACTTCAGCTCTGTGACAGCATCTCCAGCAACAGTTACTTGCCACTTGAAGTTCCACAACAGATGCTTTTCTACATATAAACCAACATAATAACCATAAGGTAAATAAAAGCAGAAGCCAACAGCCTAAAGGGACTTGCTGGAAATCTATCCCATGTACAGAACTGTTAAAAACATGGGAACTTTTCAAGTGTGAATTGCATGCTCATGCACGCTGACTGCACACAAACAAGTCAATGGAAGATGAAGCACATGAACCTCAAGATAGCTCTCAGTCCTGCACCTGAAGCTTGCAGCACACATCAGCTGATACAGAGGTACCCAAACACTGGTCCTAGTCTTCTAAGTCTCAGAGATTTTTCATAAATTTCACTTCCTTTCTTACACTAAGAACGCAAGCATATAAAGCTATTTTTCATTTTCTCTTTTTAGTTTTTGTCAACATTAGAATGACAAGCACAAGCAGCGAGCACCTCATTAAGGTAGGTGTCACAGTGAGCTGGGTTTGCACTAAGATTAGCAATATGAGGGAGTGGCAGACAATACTAGCTGGAGATCCGCTTCTGCTGAGGAGACAAACACATCTGTTGCCAGAAATGCTGGTGAAAGGGGTTTGGCCAGATTTAGAATGTTAGAGAGATTGCCAAGGGTCCCCTTGGACTATTAACTACTGAACTACTACCCCTTATACTTATTACTACTACTACTATTGCCTTTCCTACGCACCCCACCCTCCCCAACTGTTAGCTACTCACACAGGCACCCGTGCTACTAATAGAGGAGACCCTGGGGGACAAATCAAGAATGATAAGAAAATTCCAGGGCAAACAAGAGCACGGGACACCAGGTGATGTTTGTTCTTGCTTTTTCATGTGAAAGGGAAAAGGCTTGTGGAGACACATCTTGCAAGTAAACAACTGGCTGCAGGACTGGCATTACAGGCAATGTTTTATTTTTTATGGCCACCCCTGAGCAATGAGGGCTGCTAAGTTAGAGACGAGACCCACTTAACAAAGTGGGTTGGGAACATCCCTATCAGATCTGGTGACAAGCACTTTAAATGAGAGGTCAATCAGGGAATGGTGATAGAAGTTTGCAGTTAAGGGAGGGAATACAGATTCAAACATGTTAAGTACGTAAGTCAGGTTGGTGGGAGGAAGACAGACCTTGGCAAGGATAAAACACGTTGAAATGGGAACCACCTCAAGTACCTGTACACAGAACTATGACTCTGGAGTAACCGAGACATGTGGGATAGCTCACACAACTGCAGCTTTGTCATGGATGCATACAAGCTTTTTAAGAAAGCCAGGAAGGAAAGAACAGCAGGTGAACTGCCCTCTACCTGAAGGAATATCTGGAACACGAAAAGCTGTTCTACAGGACAGACAACAGGCTGGTTAAGAGCTTGTGGTTCAGCATTAAAGGAGAGGTTCATATGGGCAACACCACAGTTTGTTACGTATCACCTGATCACAGTAAAAAAGCAGATGAAGCCTATTTTGGCAATTCCAGAAAGTCTCTAATATTACAGAGACTGGTTATTGTGGGACACTTTAACCTCCCTGACATCTAATGGAAGGGCAACACAGCAGGACATGAACAGTCTAGGAGGCTGCTGGAAGATTTCAGGGAAAAACTGATGCTAAATGGGTCAACCCATTTGATACCTTCTTGGAACTGCTTTCAACAAAAAAAGGAAGAGGTCACTGGGGATGGGATCAACGGCAGCCTTGGCTGTAGTGACCATGAAATAGTGGAGCTTAAAATCCTGAGGAGTGAGAAAGCCACATCCAGTACAGAGCCTGCACTTCCAAAAGGCAGGCTTACTTAGCAAGATTTCTGCGGGACCCAGTTCTGAAAGGCAAAAGAGTTCAAGGAAGCTGGTGGGTATTTAAAGACAACTGCTTCTAACCACATAAAAAGTACATCCCAACAGTAAGGGAAATAAGCAGATAAATCAGCAGCTAGGCCCAAGGAGGAAGAAGCGAAAACAGCCTGCCAAGGAAGGAATACAGAAATAGAGTCCAGGCATGCAGCATCCTTGCTAGAGAAGTCAAAGCACAACCAAAGCTGAAAAAAGCAAGTGACTTCAGTGAAACATGAAAAGCTTCTACTAGTACATGAGCAGGGAAGAATCAGAAAGGAAAACAGGACAGGTGGTTTACTGACAGCTGACACAGAGAAAAAAGAAGTACTCAGTGTTGACTCTGCCTGGAGCAGAATGTTGGGTGACTAAGCTCACGTCCAACAGAAACGATTCTGTAAACGCAGTGAAGATTTATGTGAAACTGATGTACACAGTAACAACATGACATTTTCTCCAAGCTTTCCCAAGCCTCATCTCCTTCACTTTCCACTCAAATCAGGAAGATTCAATTTCTTTTTACTCCCCTTGTATGCTCTTGAAAACATGACTGGATCAGATGCGGCACCTAACTGCTAGGATGTCACAGGCACACATTTTAACAAGCCAAGTGAGGATCTGTATTTGTTTTGGCTATCAGGATTTCACGGAAGAAAATTCAGGCCTTTTTCAGACTTGTAACACATTAAAAAGACAGGGTTCCTCAAGTCAGTTATCCTGCTTATTCAAAATGCTTAACCTTAAAATACTTGACTTTTAATTGCAGTAAAAAAAAAAAAAAATCATTATAAAGCTTTAGACTCAAAAGCATATGGAACATTCAAAAAAAAATAACTGAAAACAATCAACATAGAAGTGCATTTGCTTCAAATTCATGCATGTTATTCTTCTATTATTTTGGAAGGAGGACATATGCCATGTTTATTTGGGGTAAGCTGGGTGAGAAGGGACAAGCACCATTCCTCAATGCAGAATAATAAGTACTACCACTTACAAAGTTTGTATCAGAAGGCAAGAGGTCAATACACATTTTGAATTCCAAGCATTCAGATTTAAGTTTCTTAATGTGGAATAAAACATTCTTTCTCTGGGAAATTGACTCTGAAGAACATTGCAAACTGTATCTGCATGACTGAACAAGTTTTTCGCATGACTTCTGAAGGGGTGCAAACGTGTATGCCATCTTTAGAGAAACTGTATTACCTTCTGAATATCTGGACAGACCTCCAAATACCACTCGAGAGGAACATGGCTTAGCAAACTATATTCATATTTTTTAAGAATAATCTAGGGAAAATGAAGTGTTTGATAGAATTTGATGGAAACTACTTTCTAATGTAAAAGAATCTTCAACACAGAAAAGACAAAATATTAAAATGGAGCAAATCTTTCTCCATTCCAACACAGATACAAGCAAAGCTGTGATAGATACAAATAACAGAAAGCAAATTTTCATTAGATTAATTACTTATGCATTTACTATTTTCTTACTTAAAAGAAAAAAGTTACAAGGTTCAAACTGATGTCTGAAATAGCAGGAGCACAACTGCAAAGCACAGACTGCTTCTAGGAAAAATCTAGCTCAGAGATGTTGCTGTA